GTGTATCTGCTTTTGATTGATTTTTGTTTTTAATTATTTTGCTTTTGTCTTTTTTCAGTTGTTTTTGGATTTTTGTTTTGGTTGCATATTAATCAGGGTCAGAGCTGGAACTCTGAGCTCCTTCCATCCCACTGGCTTTGCCAGGAGCCCCAGTGACCCTGGGACGTATGTGACTGTCCCACCTGGGCCTGGTGATCACTGCCTGGCAGGCCTTGCAGAGCCAGACCGAGCCTTAGAACACCTTCTGGGGCACCGCTGGGGGAGTAGGCCCTGCACCCCCCGCCACCTGGAAGCTAGACCTTGGAGAGAAGCTGAAGCCACAGTCACAATGCCGAATCTCAGGCCAAAGTCTGCACTCCCCCGCCACCCAACCTGGGACAATGAGGCAAAACTGGAGACTTCAGGATCACCCCCTGCCAAACCCAACGGCTTTCAAGTATCCCTGTTACCGGAAGCGGCACCCCAGCCCTCCATTTGTTCATACCAGAGCCCCTGAAGCCACCCTTGACACTCCCTTTCCCTCATCCACACGTTCAATCCCGTCACCCGTCTGAGACAAGGCACCCAGACCGGGATGCCCACGGCCTCCCTTCCCTGCCTCTATCCCCAGAGGCCAGGCTCACAAGGGCCTCGACAGGCCATGCCCAGTGAAAACACTGGGGTCTGTGTCTCTCCCTGGAGAAAAAGCAGGACAGTGGAGGCTAGACATCTGATTCACAGGAAATGAAAACATTTTTCAACGTTTCACCCTAGGGTATGAGTCTTCACAGCAACTGATACAGGAAAGCCAGAAGTCAGAATGCACATCTCCAGACATCAAGAATAATAACAGCTTGGCCAGAAGTGGTAGCTCACACCTATAATCCCAACGCTTGCGAGGCCAAGCCGAGAGGATCACTTGAGCCCAGGAGTTGGAGACCAGCCTGCACAACATGGTGAAACTCTGTCGATACAAAAAATAAAATAATTAGCCAGGTGTGGTGGTGTGTGCTTCTTGTCCCAGCTACTCAGGAGGCTGAGGTGGGAGGATCGCTTGAGCCCGGGAGGTTGAGCCTATAATCGCATCACTGTACTCCAAGCTGGGTGACAGAGCAGGAAGCTGTCTCAAAAAAAAAAAAAAGGAAAGCATGACAGCTGTACCACCGCTCCCAGCAGCAGAGGGACAAGCCAATCACAGCTAAGCAACAGACATGTTTTGCTTGGCCCACACCATGCTTGAAATTGGAATTGCTGCCAACATGTAACATTAGGAGAATTCACATAAAAATCCCTATTTGGAAATAGACAAACTGGCTTCAGCAGCCAGCATTCTTCCACTGCACCTCCCTTCCAGCCATGAAGGCAGACCCTCCCCAGGGCCCCCCGCCCCAGGACTCGGCACCATTTGCCGTCTTTCCTCAGTCCTGCCTCCTTTATTACACTGTCACCTTGGTCCCTGCGGGCATTGAAGTTTGTAGGTCCTCATTTTATTTATTTATTTAGGGACAGAGTCTCACTCTGTCCCCCAGGCTGGAGTACAGTGGTGTGATCATAGCTCGCTGCATCTTCCAACACCTGGGCTCCAATGATCCTCCTGCCTCAGCCTCCCAAATAGCTGAGACTATAGGCTCACACCACCATGCCCAGCTAAATTTTGCTTTTGTAGAGACAGGGTCTTGCCCTCTTGCCTGGGCTGATCTTAAACTCCTAGGCTCAACCTATCCTCCTGCCACAGTCTCCCAAGGTGCTGGGAGTATAGGCATGAGCCACCGTGCCTGGCCCAAGCCTCATTCTGGAACCTGAGGAACAGTTTTGCTAGTGGGAAATAGGTTCCATGCTCTGTGTGTTCAGCAGGACCCCCCTTTCCCAGTCTATGGTAGACTAGGTGGGAGGTGAGGCCCAAGAATCAGGAAAGAGGGCTTGAGCATGGCCAAAAACCAAGGCTACAGCAGGAGGAGCAGACAGCTGTATGCTGGGACTTTCTGTCAGGTGGGCAGGAGAGGCGGGTCAGCAGAATTACCCAAGAGAGAGCCACGCTGGTGAAGATGTGGAGTTGACAGCTGAGCCTGGTGAGGGCTGTGGATGGGATTCAACCCTCGCAGTGTGAGGGCTCAGCTTTCTCTTTAGATTCTAAAGTACGCTGCTTCTCGAAGCACATGGCCACCCCCCTCGGTCTTTCTTCCCCCACCCACAGACACTGAGCTTTCCAAACATCTGGGCCTTCCAACCCCCACCAGGGGCCTGAGCCTGCCCCAGAGATTTCCAAGACAGAAGTGGCTGCGAGGCCCACTCACCACAGGGAAGGCCACCAGCCTGGGGACAACTTCAATTGCAAGGAAGAGTTTAAAGTCCCAGGGTGCCAGGAAAGAAGGAAGAAACTGGAAGAGAAGGAAGGGAGGGGCTCTGGAGGTAGGGGCCGAGGAAACACATACCCCAGGCCCTGAAGAAAGGGGCAGGGAGGCCTGTCTTATGGTCGGGGCATTCCAAGTTGATAGTTAGATCAGGAAGACAAATCCTGACTTTTCAGAGGCCTCCTGCCACTGTGCAGTTTGTTAATTTCCTTATCTGGAAACCAAAGCACAGAACTGACTGACATCCTTCAGCTTCCTCTGCCCCATCTACACACACCCAAGCCAGAAAATCAACAGGCCCCTGAGTCCAATTCACTCAGTCACAGGGAGACAGGAGGCTAACCATGAATGTCACCTGGCCAGAGGAACCATGAGCCAGAGGGACCGCTCCCCTCAGCCTCTCAGCTGCATAGCTGGGCTTTGGATGTCCAACAGAATCACTGTTGCAACAGCCCAGGTTCATGAAAAAAACCTTTCAGATGAAGCACAATTGTCCATTTCTGTATGTGTACACAAACATCCACATACTTATCATTTGGCAGGCACCAAAGATTTAATGAAATCTTACTGGAGAAAAACTCAAGATTGGGAAAGCTGAATATTTTCCTGCAAACTGGGACAAGGCAGCCATGATTTGGTCTGAGCTTTGTGAGATGACGCTGGTGTCAGTGAATACGTGCCAAGTTCCCCCAGGCATGTGGCTGCGAACCACTTCCTAAGATGCCATTACTCCTACTGGGCCATTTAGGTGTGACAAGAAAGACATCTGCCATCATGGCCGGCGTGTCCACACCAGCTGGACTCAGGCACGGGGGAGCTGTTGTTCCCACAGTGGGAGGGGTCTGCGTGGAGCCTCTGACCCTCCTGCCCAGCCCAGATTGGGTCGTGACTGACCAGGATGACAGTGACAATCCATGGGATGAGGTGGAGGCCCTTCCCCAGCCTAAGTGGGTGGCTTCTCTTCCTTCTGGCTGATCCTAGGCACACAGCCTGACTCCTGATCCCCCCCACATTGCCGCCATCCCCCCCCACCCCGCCTCGCCCCACTTGTCAGTTCCTTTCCCCTGAAACCCAGGTGTGCAGCAGGAGATGACCTCTCAGGCCGCCTCCTTTCTCAGTGCCCCAAACAAGCCACAGGCCATCCTGTGCGCAACAAAGATGTACCACCAGTACTGGAAAAGGAAAAGAGCAGGAGAAGGAGAAAATTCACCAGGCAGCGAGGGCCGGGGTGTAGACAATCTGCCTCCAGTTTTATAGTCCTCGTCCTTGGCCACCAGAGCTGATGCTCCTTTGGCCCTGAAGCCAAGCATCCTCCCTTTTCACCTTTACACCTGCCCTCCTCCTCCCTCCATCCCAGCTCCAGACAGCAACTCCCTCTCCCCACTTTGATTTATCTCAACCAGAGGGAGTGCAAAGTTAGATCTAGCCCTGTTCTCAACACCCTTTTAAAAAATGAGCCACACACATCCCTGCAGATTCATGCATTCAGAGGCAAATGCTCCAAGCCACACAGTCCAGGACAGACTGATGGACAGGCAAAGACACACATCCACGTACGCAGAGACAACAGCAGATAGGCTGCCAGACACCCCCTCAATACATGCTCTCACACTGAGGACAAAGGGACCCACGTGGGGCCAGAAGCACAGGCAGGCACACATCCCAAAAGCTGCGCCATGAGCTGTTTGAAGCTTCTTTTGAGGAAAAACACTCTGCCCCAAAGAGAAGGCCCCTGACAGGGCCGGGTTTTTTTTTTTTTTTCAGTGCACTGGATAAATTGCTTTTGTGCAAAAATAAACACAAGTGAACTGCATTAGCTGAGCAAGTGACACATTAGTTACAGATGCAGGGCCTGTCAGAACATTGAGGAAACAGCTTTTATTGGGGAAGGGCTGAGAGACTCATAAATAACTGGTTGGCAATCTCACATAAACATTTGTGCATTCACATAAACACCGCCTACCACAAACGCTGGCCTAGCTGCCGGCGCGGACTGGAAGGGCCCTTCCCGCCTGTCCTCAGAGAATAACAAGGCAGGCAGGCAGGCGGGGCAGGGTCACAAGCCCCTTTTCTCCCAGAGTTCCCAACTCCTTGGACTCACGCTCTGTGCTCGGTGGGGTGGAGGGAGAGATCCAAGTTCTAAATCCTAAACATCTGCCAGAGAAAGAGGGCTGATGCCAAGCCCCAAGGGACAACTGGTCCGTTTTCCTCCCACTACAGAGAAGTCACATTTACCCAGCCCAGAGAGAAAGAGGAGGAAATGGCACTGCACTGGGGGCTGGGCTGTCAAATAAAGCCAAGAAAGGAATTTGCAAAGATGGGAAATGCCTCTTTGATGCAGCTCCAGGGGTTCCCATCAGAATCATAGGACAAAGGCCATGAAAGGTGGCCGGCCCTGTCCAACCATTCAGACACAGGGAGCCTGGGCTTCCTCCTACCACCTCCTGAAGATGCCTTTGCCCTGAGTCCTGGAGTTCTCTCCTCTGAGTTGAACACTTCAGAGCCACATCCAGCTGATCCCTCAAAGAAGAGCAAAGCAGGCCAGGTGCAGTAGCTCACTCCTAGAATCCCAGCACTTTCAGAGGCTGAGGTGGGAGGATAGATTGAGCCCCGGGGGTGGAGGCTACGGTGAGCCATGTTTGCACCACTGCACTCCAGCCTGGGCAACAGAGCGAGATCCTATCTCAAAAAAAAAAGTGGGGCATGCCCACGATTGTGTCCTTGCTACGTTTTTCCCTGTGGTACCTGCCAACCCAACAAGCACCCTGGCACCCTCACACTACACCCCTCCCAAGCAAAGCGCCCCCTTCAGAAAAGTTCTGATGCACTCGTTTGCCCTGCGGTCTGAGGAACAGAGAACGGCTACGCGTGTTTCATTCTCCTCCGTGCCCTCCTCTGTCACAAAGGCAACTGCCAAAGGACAAGGTATGACATGGTAGGATTTAAAGCAAGTGGCTAACACTCAAAAGTTTTGTGGGATTTTTAGGGAAGAGAGTGTAGAAAGGGGAATGTTCCTGGCCCCAAGTTCCCACTATCATGATTAGCTCCAAAAGCAGCTCCATCCACTTTCAGCTCAATAACTGTCAGCTGACTCTCCACTTTCCCCGCAAAAAAGACCCAAATCTCTAGACTGAATGGCTCTTTTACCCATCACATTCCCTGAGTCCATCCCACCCCTCCTCCAGCCTGATTTCCCTTACTGCTCCTCATGTACCTGAGGGTGCAGGAATTCCGTGAATTCCATCCTCATCCATGTGTTAGAATTTCATGCTTTCCCTTAGTCAATCCCTTCTGAGAAGACCTTTTTCTTCTGCAGGTCCAAATCCAAGCCATCCTTCCAAGTTCCATTCAAAAGTCACATTCTCCAGCAGGACTCATCTCTCCCTCTTTTAAACTTGGGGAGAACTTTTCAGTGCCTAACTGATGACTTTTCTTCTTGTTCTAAGTTATCTGTACTTATTTGTTTATCTGGTCTATATCCCCCTTGAGATTCTAAACCCTCAAGTCTGTGGTCCCATGACTCTTTCAGGTTTCTCTTCCTGCCAAACGCTTCTTCAAGGCCTGGGCAATGGTAGGTGGAATTAAAGGAGGATGTTGGCGGTGGTATCTGGAATCCACGCCTGTGATCGTGGTGGGATGTGGTGGTGTGGTTGAGTTGCAAGGGGGAAGATGGCAGTAGTGATGGAAACTGGCCAACAAGTCTTCCCCTAGACAATCTGCCTTTGGCTACGCTTTGCTGCTGAACGACTCTGCTTTGGAAGAGAAAGGAAGATGCCAGGCATGGACAGCCAACCAAGCACCACGGCTCTGTTGGATCGACCTCAGCCGTCTAGGCCCTTTCTTCCCATCCACAAATGGAATGCTTTCTGAGGAAACACAAAACACAGTACCAGATATAAATAGTGAAGGCTCTTTGGCCAGGGCGTCCCTCAGGAGAGAACACAGTGTAGCCATAATTTATTGTGTTGGCTATTTTCACTTCCAATCTTACTTTTATGGACATTATTTCATGGGCTGGAGCTTAAACACAGATGGAAAGATTCTGGCTTTGTAACAAGAGATGGTTTCTGGTGGGCCAGCCCATGGCTCTGTTTGTGTGAGCGAACGCACTTGATCGTGTCCTTAGGTGGGGTTGGGAAATGCCTTTATTATGTGCTGGGACTTTGATCCAACAATTTTGCCTTCACCTTTCCCCAAGGCTGGGGCCCCGGATGCTCCCAGGGAAGGAAGTGACAAACACCATAGTGAGCGAGGGGGAGGAGGGACAGGCCAGCCTTTGAAATGTATTTCTGCCTTGGACTGGATCTGCCATCCTTGAGTCTTCAGAGGGCTTTGACTCAGGGACTTGGGCCTAGATCCCAAAGGGCAAAATTGAAAGGAAGGGGACACTATTATATGTGTGAGATACACACACACACACACACACATACACATACATATAATTGATGACTCTGTGTTGGATGATTTGCATTGTCGTTTTTGGGGAGCAGGGGCAGGAGCTAGGTAGAAAGTGGAGCTTGTCCTGTCTCTTAATGTCTTGTGAGCTGCCCTCCTCCCTCTATAATATATCACAGGTAGTTTCATGTCAACAAACATTCTTGAGAACATGATGGAGGCCAGGTGTAGTGGCTCACACCTATAATTCCAGCACTTTGGGAGGCCGAGGTGGGAGGATCACTTGAGGCCAGGAGTTTGAGACCCACTCCCCCCATCACGACAAAAAAATAAAAAATTAGCCAGGCGTGGTGGTGTGTGCCTGTGGTCCCAGCTACTTAGGAGATCGAGGCTGGACGATTGCTTGAGTCCCTGAGTTCGAGGCTGCAGTGAGCTATGATCACACCACTGCACTCCAGCCTGGGTGACAGAGCAAGACCCTGTCTCAACAACAACAAAAAAAGGAACATGATATAGACTATGGTGCTCAGAGTCTGGTGTGCCAAGGTTTGTCTAACAGACCTCATTTAGGTTGGGGAGAAAGAGAGCACAGGAGGGAGAGAAGGGGAAGAAGGTACGGAGGGAAAGGGAGAGAGGGAGAGACAGAGGAGGTTGAGCCTCGTAAGAAATGCTTCCAGCCCACCGGGTATATCTTGGCCGCAGGTGTGACCCGTACACATCCCTAGAATCCAAGGACACTGGGTGGAGGCCAGCCTCATGCTGATAGCCAGGCATCCAGGAGCTGCAGCCATCTGCCTTCCCAGCCCCTCCTTTCTTTCCTCCCAGGGTTGGTTTCCAACAGACTCTAAGAAGCCTTGGGAGGGTAGATCGGGAAACACAGGGGTGCAGGGGGAGACTCTGGGCTGCAAGGAGCAGTGGCCATCTTCAGCTAGGAAGGCCCACGGAAAATGAATGCAGGGAGGAGGTGCACCCAGGAGGGGACTCTGTGGGGCCTTGCAGAGGGTAATTGTCCTGCGTGCCCAGCTTCCAGGGATTCCACATGGAAGAGCTGCTGTGTGAAGTGAAATGTCTATGAGAAGCTGGCCTCGGGGGTCTCTACAATTGTGAGCCTGGCACCAGAGCTCTGTGGGAGAAAGATGACCCTCCTGCTTGCTTGGCAGAGATGGTTTCTTTGGTTTTTATTGTACAGACATTTTTATTTTGCACCACTGCAGTGGTAAGTTTCCAGGATAGCCGTCCTTGGGGGGTCCTTGGAAAGAGTTTAAATAGACCCAAGGAAATGGTCTTCTATGCCCAGAAAGCCTTCTGCCCTCACCAGGCTCTGCTGGTGAGACGTCACACCCACGCTAGGGGTGCAGAGGGGTCGAGAGCTTTGAAACATGAGTGGGGGCAACCAGGATCTGCTCCGAGCTGCAGTTGCTTCGGGAAGCTTGTGCCTAGCACCTGAGCTGCTTGAGAAATCTGGCACAGGCACCCAGCACAAGAGACCCAAGAACTACATTTCAGAAAATGTGATAACCAGGCATGGAGGGCACACTGTTGTCTGGCTGCCCCCACTCCTTGTGGGGAACCACACCACCCACCCCCCACTGCAGGAGTCCTACTGGGGCCATCTGTCAATCCCAGGCTCTCCTGCCCTCCCCCACCGAAACAAGTTTGAGCCCTGGATCTCTGCCCTAGGACTTCTCAGTTATGAAAGCCAATATAGTCCCTTTTTGCTCAAGCCTGTTTGAGTTGGTCTTCTGTCACTTGCAGCTGAAAACGTCCCATTGAATATACCAGGCTAATAACTAACTATGAAATCGGCTCCAAACCAAAGAACTAAGTCAGAGTGAAAATGTGTCTTCCAAGGGTCAGAATCCCATAGTTCTCTGGAAGAGAAACATACGAGACTTCTACCAGATCTGGACAGGCTGGCTAGAAGCGGTACTGCCCTTAGACATAGGCAGGAGAGACCCCTGCATACACACACCACACACACACAAACACACACACACACACACACACATTAAATAACACATGGAAATCTCTGTCCCTGCCCTTCAGGATCCAGCGCTCAGCACTAGCACAGCGTGACCTCTAACTCCAATACATCCATTCTCATGAGCAGCACCATTCAGGCCCCAGGGAAACGCCTCACATCTTTTGTGTTATGTCCTTGAATCAAAAAAAGACTGTGTCTAAATGCTGTGAAAATGTGTGGGCTATGCTGCTGTTCACACTGGAGACGACACTACCCTGGCTGTGGAGTGTGGACAGGAGCACACTAAGGTAAGAGAAAAGGCATTGATCAAATCCTTCCTCTCACATAGCAAGAATACAACAGAAGTAGCAGATCCAATGGTGGCGAGCATGCACTTTCTTGCTTCTCTTTGTGGTTGCAGAGGTACTCACAAATTAGCACAGTGTTTGCTACAGCTGCACACGGCAGTTGAGGAGCATTTTGCAATATGAATAATTCATGATTCGCCTACATTTGCACATATGTAGGTCAAGATATAACATGCATGAAGCATGACACTAATGCTTTACATTGGCAACTAGACAGACATGGAACAATGCTACAATTGTAAATGAATTTATTTTTGTAAAAATGTTTACTAAGATTTTGTTACTTTTTTTTTTTTTTTTTTTTTTTTTTTGTTTATTTTTTTTTTTTTTTTTTTTTTTTTTGAGAGAGAGTCTCGTGTTGTTGCCCAGGCTGGAGCACAGTGGCACGATCTCAGCTCACTGCAACCTCCACCCACTGCAGCTTCTGCCTCCCAGGTTCAAACAATTCTCTGTCTCAGCCTCCCGAGTACCTGGGATTACAGACGCCTGCCACCACACCTGGCTAATTTTTGTATTTTTAGTAGAGACGGGGTTTCACCATCTTGGCCAGGCTGGTCTTGAATGCCTGACCTCATGATCAAGCTGCCTGGGCCTCCCAAAGTGCTGGGATTACAGGCATGAGCCACCTCGCGCGGCCCCGACATTTTCAAGACTTAAATTTAAAAGTTCGCTTTACTTAAACATCTTATTTAAATGTTACATGTATTAGATAAAGTGGATCCATTATATTATTAATTATATTTGCCTTCTAATTTTAATAGATAATGTTGAAGATTTTAAGCAAAAATAAATTTTTTAAAACTTACAAGAAAAGTAATTTTAAGCTTTGATCTTTTACAATTTATTTTAATTTACATTTTTATTAAAACAGGTGCACTTTTGTACTATTTTGGTTATGTTGCTGCATCACAAACCCCAAAACTTAGTGCTTTCAAATCAATTGGCCAGGCATAGTGGCTCACTCCTGTAATCCCAACAGTTTGGGAGGCCAAGGTAGGGGGATCACTTGAGGCCAGGAGTTCAAGACCAGCCTGGGCAATATAGAGAGACCCTATCTCCACACACACACACACACACACACACACAAAACCATTTTTAATTAAAAACAATTATTTTAATAAAATACTTTTAGCTCTCATGGTTCTGTGAGTTACCTGCGCTTAGTGGTCATTTATGGGGACAGGTCTCTCATGTGGTCACAGTCAAATGGCAGCAGGGTCTACAGCAAGCTTGTCCAACCTGCAGCTTGTGGGCTGCCTGAGATCCTGAATGGCTCTGAATGCAGGTCAACACAAATTTGTAAACTTTTTTTTTTTTTTTTTTGAGACAGTTTCTCTCTTGTTGCCCAGGCTGGAGTGCAATGGCACGATCTCGGCTCACTGCAACCCCTGCCTCCTGGATTCAAGTGATTCTCCTGTCTCAGCCTTCAAATAGCTGGGATTACAGGTGCACACAATCATGCCCAGCTAATTTTTGTATTTTTAGTAGAGACGGGTTTTCACCATGTTGGCCAGGTTGGTCTTGAACTCCTAGCCTCAGGTGATCTACCCACCTCGGCCTCCCACAATGCTGGGATCACAGGCATGAGCCACCACGCCTGACCCGCAAACTTTCTAAAAACATTATGAGATTTGTGTGTGTGTGTGATTTTTGTTTTTAGCTCATTAGCTATTGTTAGTGTTAGTGTATTTTATGTGTAGCCCAAGACAGTCCGTCTTCCAGTGTGGCCCAGAGAAGCCAAAAGATTGGACATTGTTGGTCTAGAGTCCAACACTGGCTCACTTGACTGCACATCCAAGATGGCAGCATCTTCTTTTCACCTAGCTCGGGTCTCAGCCGGGATGGATGGAGTGAGTGGAGTCTGGCTGAATCTACTGCTTTCTCCATGTGGCCTTTCCATGGGGGTGGGTATCTTGGCTTCCTTAAAGTTTGACAGTCTCAGAGGAATCGACTTTCTAAGATGATGGCTGGCCTACCCCAGAGCGAGCTATCTAAGTGACCCAGCTGGAAGCCAAAGGCTTCCCGTGACCTGTCCTCAGAGGTCATGAAGCCTCACAGTCACTGCTTTCTGTTGGTCAAAAGCAAGTCACAGAGACAGACTGGATTTAAGAGAGGGGAAAGTTTGGGCATACTAAGGGTGTGACTCATGGGAGGGGCTATCTTGGAAGACCAGCTGCCACAATGTCTGCCCTCTGCCTCCCGTGAGTCACACACCTCCCACGTGCGAAACACACTCCCCTTCCAAGACCCTTCATGTATCAGCCACGAAGCCTTCAGGCTCGGGCTTCAAATCTAGGACCTCAGCCTCCAACTCAGGTCCAGGTGCAAATAAGGCCCCCCAGGTATGGGTCTTTAGAGAGGGTTCCTTTTACCCTGAGGATCTGTGAGCTAAAGAGACAAGTTATCTTCCTCCATAGCCAACATGCAGCAACAAGGCAGGCAGCAGGCACAGGATAACGGCAACAGACACTCCCATTCAAAAAGGAAAAGAAACTTGCACAGTGCCGTTCTGAAATCAAGCCAAGCACATGTCACCAGCGTCTTCATTAGACCTGGTCCCACTCTCGGGAAGGGGCTATCCCTAGCTGTTGGCTTCACACTCAATTATCCTTCCTTTTCCATAAGAAATGACCAGGGCGATCAGGCACAGTGGCTCATGCCTGTAATCCCAGCACTTTGGGAGGCCGAGGTGGGCAGAAAGCTTGAGGTCGGGAGTTGGAGACCAGCCTGGTCAACATGGTGAAACCCCATCTCTACTAAAAATACAAAAATTAGCCAGGCATGGTTGCGTACATATGTAATCCCATCTACTGGGGAGGGTGAGGCAGGAGAATCCCTTGAACCTGGGAGTAGGAGGTTGCAGTGAGCCAAGATAGTGCCATTGCACTCCAACCTGGGAGATAGTGCAAGACTCTGTCTCAAAAAAAAAAAAAAAAAAGAGAAATGACCAGGGTCTGCTGCCAAGTACCTTCCTGTTCTTGGCCTGCTTCCTGCTCATACAGAAGGTATCTTTTCATTTTGAACTGTCTCTATCCCTTTCCATCCAACCTGATACACTTCTTTCAAAAAATTGTGTTTCTTAAATACCAAATTATAATTTACTCCTTTAGACAATAGCCACACCCCTACTTCTCGCCCAAAAGGCTTTTTTCTACTTTAAGCCACTTGTGAGGTTGCTGTGGGATTCTTAGAAGTCCTGTTGTCTAGTAAAAATTCTCACACTCTGAAGATTCTTTGCCGGGCGTGGTGGTGCGTGCTTGTGGTCCCAGATGCTCCAGAGGGCTCTCTGTGCCTAGGAGTTGGAGGCCAGCCTGGACAACACTGTGACACCCTGTCTCAAGGGGAAAAACAATATTCTCAGAAGCCCTACTGTCTATTTAAAGGGTCTACAAAAATAATGCCCTTAAATTTTTCTGAGGTTTTAATAAAGGGTTTTACAACCACACCCTTGATTTCACATTTACCCAAGGCCACAATTTACGGGTAGCACCCTAAATTTTATCTTTGCCCTGAGACCCTTTCTTATTTTGAAAGCCTTTCACTGGCTGGAACAACAGTCCTGGGCTCCTTGTATTTCCAAAATTCTACTCAAAACCTAAATAGTTCCTTCTTTGGTTCATCTCTATCTCTTCCTGTTTTTTTTATTTTTTTATTTTTTTGAGATGGAGTCTCGCTCTGTCGCCCCGGCTGGAGTGCAGTGGTGCGATCTCAGCTCACTGCAACCTCTGCCTCCTGGGTTCAAGTGATTTTCCTGCCTCAGCCTCCTGAATAGCTGGGACTACAGGCGTGCACCACCATACCCAGCTAATTTTTTATATTTTTGGTAGAGATGAGGTTTCACCATGTTGACCAGGCTGGTCTCCAACTCCCAACCTCAAGTGATCCGCCCACCTCGGCCTCCCAAAGTGCTGGGATTACAGACATGAGCCACCACACCTGGCCTCTTCCTGTTTTATCAGAGTCAGGTGGAGGAAGCTAATTATTAAATATCACTTTCAAAAGCTCCACCTGGAAATCGCCCTAGCCAGATCCCCTAGCTCATTGGGCGCCCTTTTCTATGTCCATGTCATTGCAGGTGAGGGGCTCACGTAACTCTTCTGCCAGTGCCTCGCTAGGTCTCCTCACTCCATCTCAACATTTCGGTACACCACAGGTTTTAGGTTCTTCTTACAATACACCACTTCCAGCACTGTGGTCCCGGCCTTCCAAAGAAGGCCCCAGTGAACAAGACCTGCTGGTCTTATGCCTTGTGTGGTGCTCCCACAGCGAATCTGGGCTGGCCTGTGACTCATCTAACAAATAGCAATGCAGTGGACGCAGTTGCATAACTTTTGGATGGACTTTTAGGAGTACTGGCAGCATCCTTTTCCTCCCATTTAACTTACTCACTTCTGGGAGTCCTGGGCACCAGCCATGGAGGAAGTCCAGCTACCCTCTTGGAGCGACCAGCAACTCTACGGGGGAGAGAAGGCCAGAGATTACACACAGAGGGATAAAGGAGCTGATGTCCCATCCTTCCAGCTGAGCCTCTTAATGATCCGGCCTCGTCCACCACGCAACCATAGCCGCAAGAGAATTCCCAAGCATACGCAGCAGAAAAAGCTCAGCTAAACCCAGCCAAGCCACAGAAACACACAAAAATAAAATGTTGGTGGTTCTCAGCCCCTAAGTTTTGGGGCAGTTTGTTATGCAGCGCAAATGACTGAAACAACTCTGACACAAGCTTGTTTCCTCTTTCATCCTTTAGGTCAGCACTGTCACTGGAACACAAATGATGAGTTCGCTATTATAAAAACATGATTACTAATTTTACTGAAGTTAAGGCAAACAAATGAATTCTAGAGAGTAAATTTATGCTAATGTACGAATAAATGTCTTTATTCCTCACCCAAACATCACTGGCTTTCCACAGAATTTAAGAAAGGGGACCATACAAGGTTGGACATACTAGGGGTGACTCATTGTGGGGGCTATCTTGGAAGACCAGCTGCCACAATGTCTGCCCTCTGCCTCCCATGAGTCACACACCTCCCACGAGTCACACACCTCCCACGTGCGAAACACACTCCCCTTCCAAGACCCTTACGGTATCGGCCATGAAGCCTTCAGGCTCAGGCTCCAAATCCAGGGCCTCAGCCTCCAACTCAGGTCTGGGTGCAAATGAGGCCCCTCAGGTGTGGTTCTTTAGAGAGGGTTCCTTTTGCTGGCCCTGAAGATCTGTAAGTTAAAGAGACAAGTTTTCTTCCCCCATAGGCAACATACAGCAACAAGGCACCGGCAGCCACAGAATAACTGCAGCAGAAACTCCCAGTCTATTGGGAATCCCCTCAGGGGTTCATAACTAAATTCAGTTGTCTTCAACACAGGGCAGACTTGCAGTCATATAAAAAGTATAACTTGGTCAAGTGTGGGGGCTCACGCCTGTAATCCCAACACTTTGGGAGGCCAAGGCGGGTGGATCACAAGGTCAAGAGTTTGAGACCAGCCTGACTAACATGGTGAAACCCCATCTCTACTAAAAATACAAAAATTAACCAGGTGTGGTGGCGCACGCCTGTAATCCCAGCTACTCAGGAGGCTGAGGGAGAATCGCTTGAACCCGGGAAGCAGAGGCGGTAGTGAACCGAGATTGTGCCACTGTACTCCAGCTTGGGCAACAGAGTGAGACCCCCATCTCTATTTAAAAAAAAAAAATTTAAGCCAGTTGTGGTGGTGCGCATCTGTGGTTTCAGCTATTCGGGAGGCTGAGGCAGGAGGATGGCTTGAGCCCAGAAGATCCAGGCTGCAGTGAGCAGTGATCATGCCACTGTAGTCCAGCCTGGGCAACAGAGCAAGACCTTTAAAAAAAAAAAAAAAAAAAAAATCCACCCACAGGCAATATCCAGCACTCACAGAGGACAAGGGGGTGGGGAAGAGACCAGGAGTCCTGAAACCCTCAGACAAGGCCAAAACTTGATTAAGCCACTATAGGTAAAGACAGGACTGGCTTCCTCCCCAAGTTCCCCAAAGAGTGGGGGCTATTAACCCAACACCTGGACAGATGCAGAATCGGAGGGAAGCCCACTCACCGAGAAAAATCACTATCACATTCGACCAGTTAATCTGAATGCTGGGAGTTTCTGCAAGGCTCAGACAGAGCCTCTGACTCCGCATGCATGTGCAAGGATCCTACTTCAGTTTTGTGACCGTGGAAGTGCATCTACTTGTAGATGGGAGATTTCTTTACGCCTGGGTAAAGGTCCATGACTGAGCCTGTGTGGAAGACTGTGGGTGTCCGTGAGCAGAAGCGCCCCTGGTTCCGTGTGCAGGCTCTGAAGCCAGACTGCCTGGCCTTGAATCCCAAGTCTCCCAATTACTAGCTTTGTGACCTTGAGTAGACCTCTGTGTGACTCAATGGAGCTTTATGTGGGGGCAAATAACCACCTACCTCATGTAGTTGTTGCAAGGATGAAATTACATAATCCTTTTTATAGTGTTAGGACAATGCCTATGATATAGTAAATTTCCAATAGGTGTTAGTTATAATTATGATGTGGGACTGTTTACATCCACATCTGCAAGTGTAGATTCAAGTATATCTGGTAAAGGTAGAGGGGTGTCTTTATATCTTTATTTATGAAGATATACACATCTGTGTGTCTGCATCTCTGTGTTTCTGTGTGTCCAGTGATAAGAACAACTGGCATTTATTGTGTGCCTACTATGTCACGCAGTAAGTGCTACAGATATTCACGTGAAAACATACACATACATGGATGTGAATGGCAACTACACATGCAGCCTTGTGGGAAGTAGAAAAGTTCTTTTTTAAAGCTTCCCTTCTTGTTAAAGAATAAGTGTGCTAATAACTGTGCTAAGCCCTATCTTATGCAGCTGTTAGATATGCCATGCTTACAGGCACGTAGTACACTCTATGTCCTTGTACTTTAACCAAGTTATCTGTGCTGGATGTGCTCACAGGCATGTTCCAACTCTCCATTGCTTTTACCTGTTTAGAAAAGTTTTAAGTTTTAGCCCGTCGGGTTTTAGTTTAAATTGTTAAGATCTGGCTCCAGCCAATAAAGATCAGACACAGCAGTAAGAACGACCCCAAATGTGTAAGGGATAAATCTGTGTATTTTCCTTTGTTCATTGTACTCTTGTAGCATGATGGCTTCCCACAGTACAGAAAGTAAAAATTGCGTTGCTGAAAAATCCTTTGTCTTGCTGCTAATTTTTCTTTGTGGCACCGAGCATCTATTTCCAGCAAGCATGATTTACTATATCATAGGCATTGTACTAACACTATAAACAGGATTACGTTTAGGAGGCCACGGTGGACAGATCACTTGAGGTCAGGAGTTCAAGACCAGCCTGGCCAACATGGCAAAACGCTGTCTCTACTAAAAACACAAAAATTAGCCAGGCATGGTGGCAGGCATCTATAATCCCAGCTACTTGGGAAGCTGAGGCAGGAGAACTGCTTGAATCAGGGTGGCAGAAGTTGCAGTGAGATGAGATTGTGCCACTGCACTCCAGCCTGGGTGACAGCAAGACTTCGTCTCAACAAAAAAAAGGATTAAGTAATTTCATCCTTGCAACAGCTACATGAGGTAGGTATGGTTATTCACTCCACCCTCACATCTAGCCACATGTGCCAGTGAGTACCTGTAAGTGTGGCCATCTGCCTCAGCCCTGCCCAGTGAGACCCCCTTCCTGAGGGAACCACATGAGGGAAGGCAGTGAATGACACCCATCACCAGCCCCTTCCCCAGGCTCCCTATTGGCTTGAATTGCCCACGTCACATTTCCTCCAATAGGAAAGAACAAATCAGGAGCCTGGATGAGAACTCACCAATCACAGACTTTGTTTCATCCTATGACTTGGTCTTGGCTTGGCCCAGGCTAAGAGCCTCCGTTTGAGAGTCCGTGACCTCTGCAGGGGTTCCTACTGGGCCAGGCTAACTTTTCACAGGGGTGTGACTTTTGTTTTTCTTTTTTTTTTTTTTTTTTCACTGAGTGGCATGTACTGACTCATGGTGTATCCTCCCTGGGAGGACAGAGTCTAACATCAGCAAGATAGTGAATTCTCCTTGTGGATAAACCCCCCATGTTTTATGTGTTATGCTTCCTTTGGTTGCATTATCCAATGTTGGTAACATTTGAAGCTTAAAAGGATGATATTTGAAAATTTTGGGGCCAGGCACAATGGCTCACGCCTGTAATCCCAGCACTTTGGGAGACTGAGGCAAGAGGATTGCTTGAGCCCAGGGGTTCAAGACTAGCCTGGGCAGCACAGCAAGACCCCATCTATAAAAAATAAAAAAATAAAAAATTAGCCAGGTGTGGTGGCACACGCCTGTAGTCCCAGCTACTCAGAGGCTGAGATAGGAGGATCCTTTGAGTCCAGGTGTTCAAGGTTACAGTGAGCTGTGATCGCACCATGGCACTCCAGCCTAGGCAACAGAAGGAGACCCTGTCTCTTAAAAAAAAAAAACTAAAAAAAAAATTTGTTTTATTTCTGTTGCCCAGGCTGGAGTGCAGTGCTTTTCTCTTTTGCCTTGATGGGTACATAATCGTCACCTTCATTGGCCTGAGGCATGCATCTCTGCTTAGAGAGAGACCAGGATTAATGTTTGATACAGACAGAATGCACAGAAGAAAAAAGGGTGGTAATGTTTGGCATTTGACACGCAAAACGGGATTATGCTGCAGATCAAAAGTCTTCTAAAGCAGGCTATTCTTTTGAGAGCGTGTTTCCTGGATTCCCTCATCTCTCTCCTTGGGTGTGGCCCTGGAGTTTATGTAATGGATGACTGAGCAAGAAGAGGAAGAGTGTCGGTCCCCTCCTTCCTGCCTAGGGGAATTATGAAAGGGATTAGAAGGAAAGCAAACAAGTGGAGCCAAGCACTGGCCCACTCACCCCTCCCCGAGAGGGAGAAGCCCTTGTCCCCGACTCACACTGGAACTCTGGGAAGAAGTGGCATCCCAGGCAGCTGCAAACCAATCCGGCCTCTGCCTCCAGCCCAACAGGGCTCCCCAGTAAGGGAGAGGCACCACTGGAGTTCAACTTTCAAAGTCAACTTCCATTCCTGTGAGCCAGCAGCCCTGCTGGGGCCACATGGCTCAGCTAGAAGAGCCTGTCGGGAGGAGGGACCAGGTGCAGGAGGGCTGGTCAGCAGGGGGCACCACAGGGGTTCTAGCCAGACCAGGAGGAACTGGACCATGAGGTTCATAAACTCAGCTTCTAGTATGATCAGTGGCCAGGAGGAAGAGGGGACATTGCTGTGTCCAGGGGACACCAACACCCCAGGATCCCAACTGTTGCCTCCTGCCAGATGCCCCACAAGCTGCCCTTGTCTGTCTGCAACATCCCAACTGCACCACAGTGGGGGAAGCCAGGGAAAGCAGTCTGAGAACTAAGCATTTTATCCAAGAGAAATGAACAAAATCACTTAACAAGACCAGCTAATCACTCCGGCCCCGGGATGTTTAAATCAAGTTGAAAATTTCATTATTTTTCTCACTTATCATCAGGCAGAGGTTGGAAGAAAGGCTAGATTCATTATAGACCCATAAATAAGGAAATTACCTGTTTTCTGCACAATTAAATTACAGGATGAATTAAGTTTTCAACCCTGTTTCGCACACAAAAATAGAGGTGCCCCACTGCAATGTCTGCTGACTTTTCCAACCAAAGACAAGGACCCAAGCCTTCTGGATCCCCAGTTCCCTCCTCCAGGTGGTGGGGGACACTGTTATGGCAGTGAGGGCAAGGTCCCCCTTCAGCCCAAGGAGGGGGCTGAAGCCCCCTTATATCATCAGCCCCCTTGGGCTCACACACCACATCCCTCCCTCCTGGCTTATCTGTGCTTTTTTGAGGGGTGGAATGAGGTTTTCATTCTCTTTCCGGGCCCTTCCCATCCACGGTATTTCAGATCCCTCCTATCCCTGGCCTCTGCCCAGGGAGATGGGAATTTAATTGAGCGAAGAATGGTCCCCTGCCCTACACGCTGCATGACTGGGAGAGGCTGGGAGTGGAGCCGGCACATGCAAGGGCAATGCTGCCACCTGCTGGCGCCATAAAGAAACACAGCCCATGCGGGCAACCAAACCCCATTCGCCCCCCGCGGAACTGCACCTGGATGTCCTGCAGCTGAATGGTTCCTTTTCCCAGTGCGGCTTTTCACCTGTTCCTTCATTTAGTCATCCAGTGTGCTGGCTGGAACAAGAACATCATCCCATTTAATGGACAAGACAACTGACACCCACGAAAGAGCAGAATGCAGACTGAGGTCACAAGTGTGGGGACGGCTTGAAGGCAACGCTCAGTCTCCTGCCTCCCAGCCAAGAGCTGTGTCCCCTCCTCAGTGCTCAGACAAGGTGCCCAAAAAGCAGGGGACCCCTATGAACGAGGTCTACAGGGCCATCCCCAGCCTCCAGGGAGGCAGAGTGAGAGAGAGGGCACTAGGCAGTAATGCCCACCCTGCAGTGGCCTGGTACAGGTACAGCGACTCTGTTTCCCAAGGTCGCACACCTTCCATGCAGGACATTTCAGCCACTTCGGTACCATTTTATGAAATAAAACAAGGGCAGGCTGGCTTCGAGGGAGGCCCTGACGAATGCCTGTCCCGCCTAACCGGGTTCCTCCAGATCCCAGAGGGCCCACCCCACAAGTTCACCTTGGTTCCTGTTCAGAGCTGTCAGTCGTAGGGGCTCCCTGGCTCCCCAGGATACAGGGTCTGATTTCCCCTGGCCTGGGGGACAGGAGTCCCCAAGTCTCAGGCTGAGTTACCCAGATTCCCTACACCCACCTCCATGCCCTGGGACACCTGTGCCTTGGGCCAACTGGCCAGGGCATACAGGCTGTGAGCAGAATCTCTCACCCTTGTCCTGCATCCCCAAGGCCAATTCAGGTCCCCCAGGCCCTCTTTGCCAACAGGAAGTGTTCACTTCCCGAGGCTGGCTCCTCTCAGCCTGCTTGGCCTGCCATGAACAATTCCCAAATTGTGAGAGACAGCAGATGGCTCGGAGCCCGGGCTTTGACTGTCCTGCACAGGCACCGTCCTCAGTGCCACACCGGCCCCTGGCTCCGTCTCTTAATTA